CTCTCTCATCACGCCCTGCGCAAATCCGGAGCGAGCGCGCGTCCTGGCGTCCGACGGCTTTAAGCGCCGCTTGCCCGGCACGCTCCCATCAGCCTGGCGCGCTCGCTCACCAAGGTCGGCGCTGCGAGCGGGCTCGCCGTGCCCTGGGCAACCCCCGGGCCACGGCGCACCTCGCTTATCTGCCGGTCGGCGCAATATTCCCCGCTGTTCTTGGGCGGCCATCGGCACTGCCCCGTCCAAGCCGCCAGACGCGCTTCCTGCCAGGCTTGTGCTCCGAACGGCGCGGTGCGCTATGCTGAGTGCTGCTCTTTGAAAGCATCGGGATGTGAGTGGTTTGATTACCTGGTCTTTGGAATAATGACAGCGGTATAACCATGGAATCATCCGTCAGCGTACACGTTCAGCTCTCGTGCCAATTCACTCCTGAACGAGGGCTTCCCCAACGCCGTGTGAGCTGTAGGACAGTTATTTTACCGTACTGGACCACCCGCACCTCCGATGAGCTAAAGAAGTTCAACATACATACATATATTAAAGTTGATTGGCAGGAAAAGTCAAGTCGGCTTGGGCTGGACAGATGATAGCTAGAAGGGACGACGACGACGACGATAATAATGATGATGATTGCCAATGGACAATGGATGAGGCCGGGTGAAAGAATAGATGTCAAGCGAGAGAACACCCCCAAGAGGACGATCACTGTGGGCAAGCGGCGACGAGGTCAGCTCATGTGCAGCTGCGAGGTCGCCACGGTGGCGAGATGTTAACTCCCTCGCCTGGTATGCAGGAGGTCGTGGGTTCGATCCAGACCCTGACGCCTGCTGCTGTATATTTGGAGTCTGCATGTTCTCCCCGGAGTCACGTGGAATTTTCTCTAGGTCCTCCAGTTGTTCCCTCCACATTTATAAACATGCGTTTGGAGTATTTGGCTGCTTCTTGGATCTTTCGGTAAAGTCACGTAGAAGGGAAATAATAAAATAATTAAAATAAAACATCATAGAACAGACGCTGTCTTTCCGACAGCTCTGTTCTTCACCTGAGGACGGCTGCTTGTGTTGTGGCCGATAGGTCGTGGAAATTTTATCACGTTTTATTTTTATTATTTTATTATTTCCCTTCTACGTGACTTTACCGAAAGATCCACGAAAGCTTTAAATCGAAATTTATTTGGCTGCTATCAATTTCCATGCGATAAGCCGCTTCGTTGAGCTATCATTTGTGGCCAGGCCGCTTCTGAAACCAGCTGTATAGCTCAGTGGGCTTTACCTGGTAAAAATAAATAAAAATAGTCTAACAAGATAAATTGTTGTTTCAACAGAAAAAGGATAGCATCGGTGCAGAGATGCCTCCATCCAGCAGTGGATAGATCAGGACTAAATGATGACGATGGCAACAAGGACAAACACGGCCAGTGTTCAAGGTGAACGGGAAGTGGCTTTGTCCCATATCGCTTGGAGTGAGGGAGAGCTCATTGAGCGGTCCCACAACGAGGCTGTCGCGATTAAAACGCGTCAGGCCTCTCTCCGAGAATTTGACCGCGACTAACGCGACGATTTGTAGCAAATAAGTGGCGTAATTCTCAATTTCACTCTGACAAGGGGTGGAGTGGGGGAGGGCGGGGTGATTATTTCAATTTGGCTCGGCGAGGGGTGTAACGGTGTGGGAGGATTGGGGGGGGGGTGCAAGGAAACTGGGATAACGTTATGGGGGGGGGGGTCCTTCGCTCGGGCTCGCGTCAAAATCGAGGGTTACGGCCAAATTAACCACGCGGCTTCACCCGTTCAACTCCAATTCACCGAACGCTTGACGAGTCTATCGATGGCAGAACCACGCCGCGATTTCCACTGCACAGAGAGACGGTGAGAAGGGGACGTGCCGTTGTGTGGATCTCCCTCTTCTCTCGTATTCTCTGATGTAAAAAGTGGATATTTTGATGTCCATGGGACCGTTTTGCCTTTTGGGGTGCTCTGCTCTAACACTGGTGAGACAAGGCCCTGAAAAAGGCTGTCTCTGGTGTTTGGCCAATCAGTTTCAAAACAAAGCATATATTATAATCAGAGCATGTTTGTTTGCATCTTTTGCCACAACTATCCGTGGATAATGCAGACTTGATGCCTTGAAATAGGTTTCTATTTGATGTATGAAGATCTTAACACCCGTTTTATTGCCAGAAAGGGTAAAACTCCTATTCCTACGTTTTTCATCATGGATATTTTGAACTAACTTGGGTTACGGTGGCGATTGCCCACAGTGCACGCGTCCACGGTGCAGAGATGAGTGTGAGGCATCATGGGTAGAGGGCTGGGTAGGTCAGGTGGCAGGGGCAGTCCCTTAAGGACTGTCTCTGAGCCTTCTCTGCACGCGTCCGTGGCCCGTGCCGGGTATTGCTGATGTCAAGAGTTATAAAGAAGAGTCCTGCGGATGGCGGCATTGACTTGAAAAAAGCGTGGTTTTTTACCAAGGCACCAAAAGCGTAATTTCGTCTGTGTAGGTTTCCACGCTTGTGTCGTATGGCTCTCCGGCGTGTTGTCGGCTTGCATCATGCGTGTTGTTTGGCACGACATCCGATGTTTCGCTCCACATTGTCGGGAGCTTCTTCAGGTTAAATCCATGTCGTTCATTGTGCCGAACAACACAAGGCATAACCCGAAAAACACATCGGAGACCTAGCGGTTTTGGAAGCTTTGGTTGTGTAGTGACGTATATTGGATCACTGGAGAACTGGAGTGTAAGTAGCCCTCTCTGCACAGCAGGGTGTGCTATGCCATGGTAAATGGTCCCTAAGGAGCATGGTTTTAGCGGCGGGTAGAGAGAGCACATGTGAGGACGTAGCAGCCCAATTGGCTGGCAAGGGCACGTGACAGGACAGGGTAAGGATGTGGGCGAAAGGTGACAGAAGGGACACGTGGTGTATGGCCCAGAGACTTCTATGGAGTTCTAGAAGGGGTCGTGGCCGAGGTGGAGCCGGGCCACGCTGAGGGGCATAAAAGGAGGTCCCCAGGTCCGATCCGGGCTGTCTACTGGAATGGAACCCACCCTGCTACGTCTCTTCGGTCTTCGCTCTTCGGTCTTGACGCTCGGCATGGTGGGTCAGGCAGTGCGTTAACGGACCTGACTCGGTTATGTAGTTACCCCGTGGTGGTTACTGCTATATAGTTATCCCGTTGTTACGTTTATGTAGTTACCCTGTTGTGGTCATAGAATAAACGTGTTGCCTCCCAAGTCAAGGGTGTCTCTCACGTGAACCCACTCCACTCCACATGTATGCAAATAGCATTCTCTCATTATTCACGAACTTCCTATCCGCGATTTTGGCTATCCACGAATCGCATCTGGAACTCTACACGACGACTGCATCGAGAGAGAAAGAGAGATAAAGACGAGAGAGAATGTGATGCGAGAAAGTAATGAGATAATGTTCATATGTTTAATAGCTCATTCATGTATTCGTAGGCCAATATCATTATCCGCGACATTTGCTATTCACGAGCATTTCTGGAACGCATCCCTCACTAATAGCAAGGGGATATTGTACTCAGAGTGATCACATAATAGTTAGTGCACTCGCTACAAACACGGCCGCCTGAGTTTGGTTCGCAGCCTTGGTATACATCGGTGGTGAGAGATAACTAAACAAGTCCTAGCCTCCCCTAGGTGGATTCAGGCTTAATTGAGTACCTGGTGCGGTGTGTAAACATCAGCACTGGTTTGACAAATGAGGCCGGTTGCGGTGCTGGTAACAACCACCAAAGAATCATCATCAGAATCTGTATTTAGACTGCAGAAATCTGATGAGCTATGAAGCTCTTTTTCACAGCTGTCCAGGTACGGGAGAAGGGGTAGATATGCTGCTGGATAGTATACGGATATATCGGCGGGTGGGTAGGTAGGCATTAAGGATGGTACTTGAGATGCAATTCTTGGTAAAAAAAAATTAGTGTGGGGCATGCATACTCGATGAATATCCTGTACATCACAAGGGACTTCTCATCCTCAGTGGAGGCTGGGCACTTTCCCGCGTGCCCTGACTTTAAGCACGCGTCGTGAGCATCAGAATCTATGTTGAATCGATGAGTCAATACTCGCTAAATGGGAACCTTTATTCAAACCTGTGGGGAGCCCGCTGAGAGAATGAATCACCTTTACAAAGGAGACCTATCTAGAAGTGCACACAAAAGCTAATTTATTTCAGATTATTTTTCACTTTGGTCTGTCTTTTTAAGCAATTACATTCATTATAATTGAGGTATTAGTTTGAGTCAAAGGCACGGTGTCCAATTTGAATTCACTCAAAGCAGGGTACCACCGTGGTGTCAAGTGAACAGGCCGCAGAATCAGACACCATAGATCCTTCAAGTGACCCAATTTGTCCACATGGAAGGGATACAGCACTTCAGCACTTAATCCCTGCTTTATGAATGTCCATTTTCAGGTGGCAAAATCAACATCGTTAAACCTCGGAGCTGTAAAATTTAGTTGAACTGAAATGAAAATTACGGATTGACAAAATATTTTTTTTATTTTGTGTGTGCAGCCATTCGCAGCATGGTTGAAACCATCGACTCCGCAACACTGGAGAAAATCAGTAAAATCGCAGAGCGGTCGACACCCAGATTCAGACCCAGGATCTCAGTACGTACGTACGCCTATTGAACTTCTGCGCACCGTACGTAGCCAACCGTGATAATCGGTGCGGGGGAAGGACAACAAACTAAACACATAAAAGCAGTTCTAAATAGATTAGTTTTCAATCTAGACTTAAAAGTGCACAGCTCCAGCGGCTATGCAGTCAAAAGTGCATCGGATGTGCAGTCTCTGCAGCTCAGTGCTCAGACAGCTGAGCCACTCAAACTGACTCAAGAACCCCTCTCGGTAATAACTACCCCTCGGTAATAACTACCCCCCGCCTCCTCCACCGCCGTCGCTGCTGCTGCTGCCCGGTTGTAAAACGAGCAGCTAATTCGCTCACCAATTCACACCAGAGCCGCGTCGCGACGTACCAGGGCAAACTGGCGGTTGAGTCCCATCTGCTCGACGAGGACGCTCTGGTTGTAGAAGAGGTGGGGCTGCATGTGGCTCCACATGTGTGGAAACCACCAGAACTGGTCACGGTGGGAGATGAGCATGTCGTCACCATTGTCCTCCTCGTCCGTGCCTGCAACCAGCACATCAACATCACATCAACATCACATCAACATCACATCAACATCACAACAACATCACAACAACATCACCATCGCCACTGTCAGTGACAGCATCACGAAGATTACCACCACCACCGCCACCACTACAACAATGCCACGGTCAGTGTCAGTGGTACCATGACCACGACCTCACCCAAAGATAGCGTGCGTTCGTCGCTTGTTACGGAGGTTCACGGTTCAACTCCAGCAGCCGCCCTGGTTAATACTGCAGGCCTAATAACCGTGATAATTTTTAGATTTAAAGCTTTCGTGACTGCAGGGATTCATCTTGTTGGTTCTTTCGGTAAAGTCACGTAGAATGGAAATAATAAAATAATAAAAATAATTCTCACGACGTTTCGGCCACAACGCAAGCAGCCGTCCTCAGGTGAAGAACAGGTCTGTCGATAAGACATTCAGACTCTGTCTTATCGACAGACCTGTTCTTCACCTGAGGACGGCTGCTTGCGTTGTGGCCGAAACGTCGTGAGAATTATTTTTATTATGTTTTATTTTTATTATTTTATTATTTCCATTCTACGTGACTTTACCGAAAGAACCAAGAAGAATCGTGATAATATTACGCGCCGTCTGCTTTACACCGGACGTTCAATATCCCCCGACTTGATTCACAAGAGTGGGCTATTGTGTGCCGGGCGCCAGGGCCCAAATTTGCCAAGTAAAATAATTACCCGCAAATTACTCGATTGGGATTATAAACAGCACTCGTGGCACCCCTACTGACAGACTAATGCCCCGGGTCACTCGTGCATATGAGCCTATCCTGATCTCTTGAACTCTCGCCTGCTGAAACAACATCATATAATAGTGAAAAAAAAAGCAAAGAACCATCAACAAGCGAGGGTTACTAACACCTCTTCGAAGCTGTCTGGCCGGTTTGAAAGCGTAGCCCCAATAACCTCCAGAGGGGCTCTCTTCTCGGCCTCCCTGTACTAGGAGGCCCTTCAGCCAGTGGTGGTGGTGCACAGTACCTGTGTGGTAGAATTTTCCGGAGAAGCCGAGGTTGAAGGTGAAGTTCTTCACCCGCTCCCGCAGCTTCATCTGCGTGTTCAGCAGGGCCTGCGGATCAACGCGCGTTCGATCAACACGCGTCCATTCATTCATTCATCCATCCATTCATTCAGTGAGTCGTTGATTCATGCATTTATTCATTTCCAATTATTAACACTAGTTAAAATGCACAGCCACCTTGTCAACCCGCTGCTGGATGATGGCATCCCCGCGGCGTGTCGATCAAACGTGTTTGTTTGACCATACTTCATACGGTAATCAGCGCAGGAGGCATGAGCATAAATCTGTTTCTACGAACTGACACTACACACTGGTGGAGCTGGGATGTCGTGGGGTCGAACACTATGCTACAAATCCGGCAACCTGGGTACGATTCCAGCGCATGTCCACCATCAGTGGCGAATTACATCTGCAACGAGCCTGCCCAAATATGTTGGGCGATTACCGTGAACAGAAAAATAATGGAAGGTTGTAAACAGGCTCCAGATTTAGAAAGTTAATTGAGTTACACAAATATGCGGCTACTCCACATCTGCCTTATTTGTTTACTAAAATCGATTCTTATGCAAATTATACTCACCCAATGTTGTTGTGAGTCACAACTGATGATTTACAGAAGTGTGCTGATTGCAATCAAATCGCAAGCAAATTACAGGCTAATGTTACATTTAGGCTAATGGAGTGTATGCAAAAGGACGGAAACAATAAACAACAATGAGTCTCAAAGAGATTGTACGAAGAGACAAAAAGTAACACTCTTTAAATTGAACTGTGACCGACAATCCTGAAAATTCACGGAACCGTCGCGCGGGAATGTGAATCATCACCCACCGAGTGAGATAGCCTCTCTCGCTCCGCGCATTAAACTATTTAATAGATAAACGGAAATGTTTTTCAAAGACCAGACGGGTGCGCGCATTAATCGCCCGTGCCAATCTCTATTCATTAGGGGCAATTCCAAAAGCAACTTCCTACTCATTAGCATCTCCTTTCAATTAACATAGCAAAACAGCATTTTAGATCGGTTCCATGGGTAGCAATCGGGCCCGACTAAGTGGTCACCGAACAGTCCCGCGGCGCGGCTTCAAACGGCGTCCCCTCTGCCGCAAGGCGCCGTGGCTCATCCCCAACGTGGGTAGACTGCGAATCCTGAGAGCCGCCGCAATCGCGGTGAGCAACGCGCGTTGTTTTCCTGGGTTCCACTGCGTGATCCTCTTTTACTCGCTCCCAAACACCGGGCCACGCGAGCGCACGAGGACTTTTCAAGCGGGTCGACGAGGTTCCAAAACGGCGTCTCTGTTTATTTGCACAGCTCCCGGCACACAGCTACGCCAACGTAATGTGAACGTGCTGGCGTTACGATTGGCCCTCCATACGGGCCTCCTCTCCCATCAAGATCCCTTATCCAGTGGTCACGTAACTCTGGCAATTGAGTCACGTGCATGCCTAACGTGTGTTTGGCAAAGGGCGTGGCCGAGCGTACGACATTTAATTAAACCGCGCCGTCGCTTATAAACGGGACTCTAAGCCGGCCGCTACCGCAGCTCATCCCGTGCTGCCGTCAAACAATAATCCCCACGGCGCGAACTGCCACGGAAACAATTAAAGGTTTAATCGAACGCGAAAGTGCCTTTGCCGAGGATAAGTTAGGTCGGTGATAAGCAGTGGCAGAAAGCAACATGACAGAATTAAGAGAGCAATTAATGTAACCTTCAGCGATGTCCATTATTCATTAAGGGCAGAGCTCGGCAATGCTTTTCATGAGGGCAACTGCCTCCTCCTACGCAACAGTGGCAACAGTGGAAAACGGCGAATGCCAAGCAGTGGATTCCTTGTTGAGAGGCAATTTAGTGCCTCAACATGCTTGAAGAACACCCACTGATTTCTCTCTGTAGATTATGTAACATAAAAAATGTACTTTCGACATTTCTAAAACAGCTGATTGTGATTGAGTAACTCGTCATTTTCCTTAAATCCTGAGGATGTTCTCCAAAGGGCTCGCAAGCTAAAATTTGGTACAAATATGGTCAGGACTATGTTTATAATTTAAATGCTCCAAATATCAAAATTGTCCCAAAATGGACCCCCAAAAGATTATAGCTACGACATTGATTGGTTTCACGCTCAACGGTAATAAAAAAATAACAACAAAATCCTTTTAAGAAAAAAACGAGGTAAACACACCTCCTGCGTATTTTGGATGGAATAACAATTTGCCAAAATGCCACCTCCGTGAGATAACAATATGGGGCTTTGCTGTCCTCTCATAGCCGAATTAATGCGTGCGAAATTGTGCTCCGTAGTGTGCACAGATAAAAAAAAAAAGGCCACTTCAAGATTTTTTTGAACGAAAATCTCTTGCATAGCCAATTCTCAGAAGAGAAAAAAAGACTAGAGTGCGGTGATCTGCCGGATTTCTGAACCTAAGGCTCTCACAGCATTGGTGGTAAACGCATGCGCGATGACAAAGGGCCGTTTCCCAAAACATCGTCTATATGTTGCTAAGGTCACAGTGTTGTTGACGAGTGTGTCGAGTTTTTGATGAAGGCAGGGGGCTTGAGCACCGATCAGTCACCCTGCCACCATAAACAATGTCTGTTCAAGTGACACCACGTGCCTTGTGCGTGTCCCTGTGTCTGAACGCTCGCAGAACGCTCTGTTGGTGCATGCTTCTTTGTGGTGGGGGAAACATAATATATATACCCTGTCATGTGTCATAAGTATTATAAGCTCTGTGCCAAACCTAAAAAACACACAGCTTAGGGTGTGTGCAAGTATCTGGCTAACCACAAGTCAAGCGGGAATCTTCATGCTAATAGAAGAATGTGAAATATTTATTCTGGGACAGCCTTATGAATCACTTCAGGAGAGTTCTGCATTCGGGATGTTTGGCCAATTCTTTTCACATCATTGCATTGCAAGTAAGAAAGGACCCGCGGTACCGGGAGAAAAACCCACGATGACTCTCGACAGTACACACCGATGGGTTAGCGAACCCGATCACTATCTGTTTTACTCGGCCCATCATCCTTCCAGGGTTACTAAAATAGGTACCAGATTGTCATGTTATGGAGAACCAAGGCAATGTGAAATGTTAATTTGTGGCAGATTGATTCTGGCACACGTGGAGACATTTCAAACTCCAACTTCATGATTCATTGGCAAAGTGGGTGTGGAGTGTTATGCAATATTAATAATGCCATTTATTAACCCAGGAAGGCATCGAGCAGGGCACGTTGGGAAATCGAGAGCATTGCAACCCTTGGCTTTAGAGAACGGCCCACGGAAGTGGATATCATAAAGCTACCTCTAAAATCATGCAAAGCGACCTCTGGTCCACACAGTAGAGAACAGCACCCCGGGATGTCAGCGGTGTCCTCCGAGCCACCTGGCCACACGAGCTCCAGAGGACCAAAGTCTCAATGACGATGACCGTGGGTCGACCGAGGCACTCGATGGCGGCCCGAGCGTGCCGTTGCTCCACGCCCAACCATCGTCGCATCCTCCGCCAGTGTCTCAACCGCCCGCTCGCTCACTCGCTCCTTCGCACAATTCGACACCTCCCAGAGGACAAAGATGAGGATGACGAGGAGGAGGAGGAGGACGAGAAAGGGAGAGGCCACGGCTGGCAACGGTCTGAAGGTCACACGCGCGGCGGGGGGGGGGAGATCCGAGCGGGGGGGGGGCAATGATTATCGGCGCGAGCGCCGCGCCCGATCTTTTAATTCAATTCAGCCGGGAAGCATGGGGGTCCCGGCCAACGGGAGGGGGGGGGGGGCAATCGATAGCCATTACGCGGACGTGAGTCACGGCAAGCACCGCTGCCATCGAGATCCCACTGCATTAATTACCCAGGAGCGACTTGTTTGTGCCGATTTACTGAACTGCCTGCGCGGGACCTATTTGCTCACGATATAAAAACCAACGGCCGCGGCTTCGCATCCGCCGGCGCCGTGCCTGTGCTTGGTTCCCGCGCAGATTGTTGTTGTCGTGTACGAACTTGCCGAGTGAGGGTGAAGGCGCGGGCCGGAGATCGCCGGCTCGCGGCACTACCCTGGCGGCAGGGCCTACGCGCGAGGGAGCTCTGAGAGGGCAGCTCTACAGGGTATTTGGCCTGCTCTTCCTCGCTTGGACTGGTGTTTTGGAAGAGGCCGGAGTACCCACTCCTCGTCCCGCCACACGCGGCATGTCGAGCGACGAACTTATACTGCCGGGATTTAAGAAACGTGAACCACTTTGTTTCAACTGCAGCGCCGGGAGGCTGAACCGGTGACCGGTGGATTGCCAGTACGGTGTGCTCACCATCACACCGTGGCAGCGACCATGAATTAATATCAGCCGGGCTCCTCTTGCGAGCATCTCTTTAGAGTGCCGGGTATTAAAGAAGGACCCTAAGGAAGCTTGGGATCTCAGTTCGTCTTTGCGAGCCTCATGATGCCCATGTACTTTTTCTGCTTATTATGAGCGAATGTACAATCCTCACACGGCAGTGCGATGGGTATGCACACCATGAACCTGCGCTCGGCAGACACGTGGCCAGTGCACTTCAAGGCTCTGTTGCTAATCAACAGAACGCAGTCGTGTCACATGACGCACGTGCGCTTGGCTGAGCATGCGGGGAAGGTCACCACTTGACTCGATTTCGGTGCGATCGGCGTTTAATTTATGGTTACCGCAAGTGTCGCAATTACGCGCGGAGAAAAGGCAAACTCACAATCTGTAATTTTGCCCCGGATTTGAACATGATTATGCGAGGCCCGCATTGCGAGCGCATCATTGACGCGCTTCAGCCCCTAAATATTTTAGTTTCGTTGCACTAAAAGCAGGCGAGCAGATAATCCCTGACCGTGAGAGTTGATCTGTGGGTGTCCCACCCACCCTTGCCTCTGAAGCGCGCATCCATCAAGAGGCACACCTCTATTTATTAAGTGAGCTGTACTAATTGCAAAATCATCCGCTGACTTATGGCTCCCTCACGCGTTTCACGGCCTCATAAATAATCCGCTCGGCTGGATGCCAATGTCCTTCGTCGGTGGTGGTGGTGGTCC